AGGCAACATAAGCTGGAGGGGAAGGATCTGTTCCTGTTCGGCTCACTTCAAAAATTTCTTTCAGTTTGCTTTTTTCCATGGATGGCTGTACTTTAAATGAGCTGTTAATTAATGTTATTACTTTTCTATGCATTTGCTTTCTTACTGTACTGTATATTTAGGGTAGTTAAGTTTTTGTTACCTGCACTGTGTGGCACCAACTTTAAGATTGAACTTACATGAACTATTCCACAAAGTACTAAATGGCGAATACATGAATCCTAATTGCGTATGACTTTTATGGTCTTATGTTTGAATGTTATCCTGTTGTCATTCGGTAGGTAGCTACAGTATAACTAGTAATTAAAACCTGTGTGTGTGTGTGTGTGTATGTGTGTGTGTGCATGTGTGTGTGTGTGCGTGTGCGCCATCTGGCGAATCGTCTCATTTCTTCATATTATTCAAATATGCCTGGACCTGCTGCTACAGTTAATAACACTGTGCGTAGGTATGAATCCTTGATTAAAATGGATGTAACACATTCCAACAAAGCAGACAACAGCAATCAGAGCAGCATTCAAAACTCATATCTCAACTCACAAACTACGCCGACACACACACACACACACACACACACACACACACGCACGCCTGGCATGCAGTGCCAAGAGTCACAGCCCAGTATATAACGATGATTATAAAAACACGCCTTGGTATGCGAGAAACTTTGACATGGAAATGCAAACACACACAGAGGGAAATGAGGACACGGGCAACAGAGAGGCACGCACATAGGCACATATAATCACTCGTTAGGCAAACAAGTTGAGGGAGTTCATGCCTTATATATTTTTTTTTTTTTTTTTATCAGGGGTGTGCAAAGTCTATATTTAATGCAGGCAGGAGGAGAATGCAATTTGCGTGTGAATGATTGTGTGTGCATGCGTGTGCTGTTATGCGTGTGGGAATGTGTGTCTGCACGTATTCCCATAATGTACATGTACACGCGTCTTTGTTTCATCTTCACCCATGCATACATTTACATGCACATGCGGCTTGTGTGTCTGTGTATATGTGCAGCGTGGCACACTGCCGTCCTGTCTGCCTGACTCAACATATTCTCCGTTTGCTCGTTCACTCTCCTTTGCTCTTTCTCTCCCCCTCCTTTTTCCTCTTTTCAACCCCGCACCACCAACCACCAACCACCACCACCCAACAACCCCCACAACACACCCCCCCCCAACACCCCCCACCCCCACCCCTCCCTCTCGCTCTGCCCGGCTGGCACGTACATGCATGTCTGTAGACTCTGTACTGTGCTTGCTGCCGTGGCACGCGCCAGCCTCACTGCAATGCAGCCCTGTGTGCATTAATTGGCAGAGAGACAGTGGGTACGTGGTATGCAGGGCGGGAAGGATAGAGAACAGGGAGAGAGGGCAGAAGCAAGAGGCGATGTAAGGACACAATAGTGACAATAACTGTTGGACGGACTGATGGACAAGCAGTGTGGCAGGCTCATAAGAGGGACAGACAGACACGCAGACCAACAGAACGCGTGTTGCTGAGTGTGCACAGGGAGATTACCTGACTGTGTGTTGGTGTGTGTAGAAAAGAGCAGGGGAATGTGTGTATGTCTGTTTGCATTAGTGTGTTTGCAGATTTGTGTCTCCGGCGTTTTGACTGTGCTTTTTGTGGGTGCTCACTCATGTGTACCTATATGTGCCGTGCAGATATCACACTGCTGGGGCAAAGCTCTCTAAACCAAAGTCTGACTCACTGTATTCAACGCTTTGTGATATCCTCCCTTTCATATTTCCGCTGTGACTGAAGAGTAAAAGTTTGCTCAGTTTAGCACAACTTTCTCTACTTGAGGTTTCTCTGGCAAAAAAAAAAAAAAAAGTGCAATGTGTCTGGATGCTTTCTGAGGACATGCTCAGATATAATAATGCTCTGCATCAGCTTTTTTTTTCTGTTTATAACAGATTGTGTATTCTGAGGTGCAAGGATGGAATGAGATTTGGAAAGCATTCACCAAAATGTTTACTGTCTTCATGTGTCATCACCCAAAATGCAGTGTGGAGGTCAGGAAGCTTCCCACATTGTGTTTTTAGGTTTTTACTCTGACATGCATGAATTACACAACATTTACGTGTGTTTGTGTGTGTGTGGGTATATATGCACGCACATACTGTAAAATGCACTTACTCATCCGTCACAGCAGTTTTGTATTCTTATCCTCCCACACACATCTTTCTGGAAATTATCCTCTCTGCTCGCTGTTGTCTTTTGTCTTTCCTTCCCTGTCACAGGCTGCGACATCTGGCTCCTGTCCTCCCTTGTCCACATCCAGCGACGTTTAGGGAGGCCGTCCAGTGCGCTGCATGGTCAAAAAAGTAGCAGCGCAAAAAACAGAAATGTCACCTGAGTAAGCTGAGCCACTAGAGCGGAGGTGTAAATTAATCATTCAATTTATCAATTCATGTCGAAATACAAAATAGTCTTGCGTGAAGACAGTACTTCGCTCTACTTGTGTGTAGGTGTTTGGCAAAGAAGTCCTTGCATGATTCAGAGAAAATACACAACACTTGCTCAAAAGTCAAACCTCTTGTTTTTAACTATTGTCTGTACTGTAGGGAAAAAAAAAAAAAAAAGGGAAATACCTTGAAATGACAGATTGTGTTTTTGATGAACCTTTTTTAATTCTACAATTGGAAGGATTAGAGGGTTGCTGCGTTGTGCGTGTTTTAAAGCTTCCAAGTTAGTAAAGCTTTGCTCTACCAGGATGACCAGTGATGCATGATCTCCAGACTTGCGTCAAACTGGAATTTCAGAAGTTTCACTATTCGACGTCTAATTAATTAAGGGTGGCTCTGACCTCCGTGAGCTCTTTTTGTTTCTCTTTTGTCTTAGTCACTCTGCTCTTTCTGTTAGACCATATAGGCATCTGTGTCCAGGGGCAAGTGGCAGAAGTTGCTTCAACCTAATTGTCTTTCTCTACTCGTACTGTCCTCAAATGACTTTCTCTCTGTCTCAACTCTCCCCTCCCTCCCTCCCTCCCTCCCTCCCTTCCTCCATCCCTCCCTCCTTTGCTTCTCTCTAGCTCTGCCCAGTCTCTGTCTCCGTCTGTAACTGTAGCCTGTGTTTTTCTCTCCCTCCCACTCCCTGCAACGTATAGATACTGCATTGATCAGACACACACGCGCAGACACATGCACACACACACACACGCACACACTGAGCCTCCCACTCCTTTCATCATTGATTCGCTCTGCTCTGCTCTCTCTTTCTCTCTCCCCATTCTCTCTCTCCCTCTCTCTCTCACACACTCTCTCTCTCTCTTTCCCCCCCTCTCTCTCTCTCTCTCTCTCTCTCTCTCTCTCTCTCTCTCTCTCTCTCTCTCTCTCTCTCTATCTCTCTCTCTCTCTACAGCGGCACTTGTTGAATTCAACCCTTGGAGAATAGAGAGAGGGGAGAGAAACAGAGAGAGAGATAATGACAGGGAGGCAGAGGGAGGCTTTGAGACAGTGCTGGAACAGACAGTGAGCAGAGAGAATGGGGCTTTGGAGGATATAGAGATATAAGATAGGCTGGTGAAGACAGACAGGGAAAAGTCAGTCAGACAGCAGAGAGAATCATCTTTGAAACAGTGGGAATGACACTTTAAGTGAAAGAGAGAGTCAGCCAGACGGAGTACATCAGAGTGCTCTCCTTCCATCTCTAACTACCCCTCGTCTGTCCTGGTCCTGGCTGCTGCTGGTGTGTTTGTGTGTGTCAAGGCTCCATGGTGTGTCTTAACCAGAAGACTGGCTTACACAGGTCAGAACTGTCTGGGATCACAGTGAGCGCTTTTTACTTTGCGTTTGTGCATGTGCGAGAGACTGTTAGCAGGGGAAAGTCGTGTGCTGGTTCCTCCAGGTGAGTGCTTGCATGCCAGAGTACACAGTAATTTCCCCATGCAGCCTGTGCTGTGTGTGTTTATGCATGCACACTTTTATGTAAGTAAGCCAGAGTGCATGTCTGTCTGTATGGAGTGCATGAAGTGGGAGTGAGAGAGGGAGAGAGAGAGAGAGCGTGTGTGTGTGTGTGTGTGTGTGTGTGTGTGTGTGTGTGTGTGTGTGTAAGAGAGTCGGTGACATTTTTTTTTTTTTTTTTTTTCAGTTTGTATTCCTGGAAACTGCTTCTGCCAGCATAGCTAGCTCAATAATGAAACTAGTGCGTATATGTACGTGTGTGCGTGTGTGTGTGGTGTGTGTGTGTAGTGTACTTTGTGTGTGTGTGTGTGGGGGGGGGGGGGGGGGTGAGAAAAAAAACAATGACACAAGGTTCAGGGAAGAAAAGGTGCAAATATGCCTGGAGAATGTTACTGAGCAGGAGTAAAGGGAGCTATCAAAGTTTAGGAAGAGGACACATGCTGACAAAGCTATAGAGTTAGCTAAATCAGGCAGAGACCCTAATCTTTGACATGAAAAACTGATTGTGTTACTCGCTGAAAAAAGTTGTTGTCATGGCTGACTTTCAGGTTGTCCAAGTCTGGAGGAGAATATTGTTGTTAAAGCACTAGATACAATAAATGGAATGAGTCCTGGACGGATTCCTGGAATTAAATCATGTAAAACAGCATAGCCTAAAGGTGTTTCATAATGTTCTCATGTACAGTAGACACGGCATTGTATTCAGTTTGTTTTTTTTTCTTTCTTCTTCTTGTGGACTGACTTGACTCCTCCTTTCTCTCTCCTGCCTCTACTCTCTCACCCACCATCTCCGCATATCCATCTCTCTTTCACACACCTCTCACTTCTCCCTCAACTGTATTCATTTTCTCACTTCATCTCAACTCTATTTTCATTCTTGCTCTCTGCTTCTTTTAAGATTCTCTCAATTTTCCCTTCTCGCCTCTCTACCTCCCTCTGGCATGTCTTTTCATCTTTCACGCATTTTCTATTCACTCCTTCTTTATCACTGTATTTCTCTTCTCCAACGTCTTCTCCATGTCTTTTTTTTTTCTTTTTCTTTTTTTACAGATGCCTCTCTCAGTAGCGGAGTCTGCAGTGAATATCTGAAACCCCATCTTCCTCTTCCTCTGCGGCCAACATGTCCCAGCTGCTCCATGTGGAGATCCCGAACTTTGGAGCCACAGTTCTGGGCTCCCTTAATGAGCAGCGCCTGCTGGGACACTACTGCGATGTATCCATCCTGGTCAAAGGTTGGTTAGCAGGAAATCTGCAGATTTTCTATTGTTTGTAGAACTTTGAAACCATACTAGAATTTGTCATCAAAATCCTCAACTTCTCTTTCTCTTCTCTGTTATTTCTATCAACCAGGTCAGGCGTTCAAAGCCCACCGGGCCGTTTTGGCTGCCAGCAGCCTCTACTTTCGTGACCTCTTCAGCAGCTCCACCAAGACCCAGTTTGAGTTGCCCTCCTCAGTCACACCTGCTTGCTTTGAGCAGATCCTCACTTTCTGCTATACAGGGAAGCTAACAATGGCAGCTAGCGAACAGCTGGTGGTCATGTACACAGCTGGCTACCTCCAAATTCAGCATATAGTTGAAAGAGGCATGGACCTAATGTTCAAAGCCAACTCACCTCACTGTGACTCGCAAACAGCAGGGTCCTTAGAGGAAACAGGATCCGAACCGCAGAGTCCTTCTAATAATGGCAACGGCCTGGCGGTGGCCGCCCTTTTGGGAACCCCGGGCTGGTCTCCATCCCTACTCTTGCCGCAGCGTAAGATTAAACTAGAAGGGGGTGACCCGACACCCCTGACAATACCCTCGACACAAAGCAAGATTTCGTCTTCAGAGTTGGGGAGTCGACTGGCGAGGGCCAGTTCATTGTTCTACACAACGGCTGGGGGGACCTCCATCCCTGGTTTGCCTTCTTACCACCTTCAAGGGGCCGGCGGAGGTGGAGCAGGAGGAGGAGCAGGAGTTGAAAGGTCCAGTCCTGGAGCATCCAGCTTGCCCACCACTGACAGTCCCACATCTTACCAGAATGAGGATGAGGAGTTTGAGGAAGAGCCCTATGACGGGATCACAGAGGATGCCTACAGTCATCTCTATGGACGTTCAGCTAACCCCTATGGGAGTGAGTATTATGTTATACTGATGCTTTTATAAAATCTTTGTGTGTTGCAAGTGTTGCAGTGCTTAGGTGTATTTCAAACACCAGAAGCATGTTGACTGAACCTTTACTCAGGGATGTTTTTTCGTCATCATGAAAATGAATATACAAACTTTTATAGCATTTACTTCATAACTCTAGTAAATTAAAGTTGTTTCAAGGAAAAACTGGACAAATGAGGAAATGCTAACAAGACAATCTCAATAGCATTCGTGCATTTTATCTTTCTAGTCATGTAAGGTCTGACTAAGTGCATCACTTTCTCAATTGCCCTTGGCTCAGATGGCAAAAATTCATTTGATATTAGTCCATTCTGAAAGTGAAACTGGGCATGACTTGCAGAAATGTATAACCGTAAATGTAGGAGTTTTGGTGCTACTTGTCCAGACTTGTTATGTATTGGGCAAAAAAAAAAAAAAAAAAAAAAAAGGATGCACATTCATTTCATCCCAGTTACATTATTTAATCTTTCATAAATCATGTATCCTGCGCATCTTGAAAAAGCAGGATGTTGTGCCTCCAGTGTGTGTGTGGGTTCTCTCAGCATAAAGATAGCTTTATAGAGTTATGATTGGAGTGCATCGTGACCAACAACACACGCCTTATCACAGCTACAACAGCTGGTCTGTACTGCTTTTTGTTATGGTTTTTTTTTCTTCTTCTTCTTCCTCATATGGTGTACATTTGCATATACATTGCAGGCACAGATTCTATATTCACATGTGTTTGCATACACTCATAAACACACAGACCAGACACAAGTAGACTCAAATATACATGTACAAACACACACACACACACACTCACACACTCACACACACTCACACACTCACACACTCACACACACCTCCCATTATCCATAGCGTCCTGCAGCTCAAAGGCATCAGACAGCTTTGTCAAATTCTAGAGTTTCAGATATTTATGAAATCCACTCTATCTGCAATCAGTCAGAGCACCCCAGGGTGACATTGTGGGATATTTGAGAACCATTCACATCTGTGTGTGTGTGTGTGTGTGTGTGTGTGTGTGTGTGTGTGCGCGCGCGCACGCGCGTGTGTGTGTGTCTCTATGTGTGTGTGCGTGTGTGCGTGCGTGCGCATAGGAGGTTGCGTGCATGTGCATACACTCACGAGTCATCTTAGAGGTTAGGGGAAACAATTTCGTGAGTAAGAACCTAACACCCAGCTTTGGATCTGTCCCCCTCCAAAACTCAAGTTGCTGATGCAGCGTCATGACTTATCTGGGATACATCTGCAATGCTCTAAAACATTTATGAAACACAACAAGCTTGTATGAGATTACACCAACCTGCTTTACTAATTAAATCTTGAGGCCTCTCTCTAAACAGGGGACACAGGGGGTGATGAAATGATATTATAACTTTTGTAGAGTACAGTCTGATAAATGAATGCATTCATGTACACATTGCTGTAACAAAAAAAACAAAACAAAAAAACCCTTTTGGTTATCGAATCCTCTCTGAACCTTTTCTCTTCTTGCTCGCTTTCATCAGTCCAGGACAAGCCAGAGATGGCAGCGGTGCCCTTGGCCTTGGAGAACCGCAACTGTGTGCTGATCCGCCGGGACCTGGTGGCGCTGCCTGCAAGCCTCATCAGCCAGATAGGCTATCGCTGCCACCCTAAGCTCTACACAGAGGGGGACCCTGGGGAGAAGCTGGAATTGGTAGCTGGTAGGAACGCAGCGTACTTCTACACTTTTTCCACATTTGGATAATTTAAAACCCAGTAGCTGGCCAAATGAAATTAAACTGATTTCAACAAATAAATTCACAAGGTTAGAGAATTCCATCAATGTGAAATAGAAAAATTTGAAGCTGGCGAACCACTTAAAATCAGTAATTGGGCAAAGAGGACATTGATTGAGGAGGTAATCCACAAAGCAGTGACCTCTCTAACTTCCTTTTATATCCGTAAGACGCATGTATTCAACCTGGGCTTGAACCCAAGGAGATTTCTGCCAGAGGTTAATCTCTGGTCATCACCATTCACAGTAACTTGACTCTAGCATGACTGCTAAAGCATGTAATTAAAAGATTTTGGTGAAATTATGTTTGCTGTTCAGCAAGGCAGTGCTTTAGTCATACTAAAGCCGGGTCAGGAGGAGGGTCAGATGATGCGCACCGAGTCATTTAGATCAACCGCCGTAGCAGGTCCGACCCACGTCACTGTGTCAGTCTGAAAGGGATAAAACAAAGATGCACATAGAGAATTTCTGCAGAGAGAGACGACTGTGACAGAAGGACAACCATCTCTGCAGTAGCCATCAATCAGGCCTTTATGGTAGAGTGACTAGACAGAAATCCCTTTGGAGTAAAAAGCATATGACAGCCAGGAGTTTGCCAGATGGCCCTTAGAGGGCTCTGAGAGCATGAGGAAAAAGATTTTTTGGTATGATGAGACAAAACCAAACTCTTTGGTCTAACAGCCAGAAATTGCTCGTGGCTGTCAGACCAGAGACTTTCAAAGGGAGCAGGTACCGCTCAGCATGTAGCTAATATTATTCCTTCAGTGGAGCATGGCCAAAAAGTTGTATCAATTTAATATTGAATCTTTTCAGACAAAAGAATGGAGTTTGAATACTTCCTAGTCTACTTTATAGGCAGACACAGCCGAACACAATGATATGTGAACACGCAAGTTGTGCAAAATGCTCAGGCGCAAAGTTACCACATGGTGAGATTCAATCAAATCGTAATTGAATTGAATTAGAAACAGAATGAAACACAATGGAAACGTGTAATTCAGTGGTGTAGTGTGCATATAAGACGCAGAATACAATACATCCATGTGAAAGAGATGGTATTGTGAAGGAAGTGAAACCAAGAAATTTAATAGTGTGGTGCTTTTACGCCCTTCAACTTTGATTCCATCTCCAGTTTCTGATTCAGCTCCAGAGAGATGAAGCTTTGTTTAATTCCATTAAAGATCTCCTTGAACATGAATTTCAAATGTGGCAAAAGACTAAAAGCAGAACTGGTTATTTGGGTCCAAAGAGAGAAAAGATAAAGCTCTAGAGTTTTGAACGACAAGGAAATGGGTTGTAATACGAGGAGTTTTCTCAGCAGATCTTCTTTTTTCTTACTACACAGGTACGCAGGTGTTCATGACCCGAGGCCAGCTGATGAACTGTCATCTATGTGCCGGTATCAAACACAAAGTCTTGCTCCGCCGTCTGCTAGCCACATTCTTTGATAGGTGAGTATAAAGACATGCACAACTGAAGACAGCAGTTTGTGTTAGTCTTTAAGGAGCCACTGTAAGATTCCACTTCTGTGTATGACTCCAACACAACCACAGTTGTCACAAACCAACTTTCACACTCCATCTGTGGCCATGTTGTGCAATGCGGTTAGTTATGTGTGTGTGTTCCCATGTTCGCCTACTTCCATGTGCCTGTAGCTGACTCTGCCCCCTGGTGTTGACTCTGTATGCTTGCAGAAACACTTTAGCCAATAGCTGTGGGACTGGTATACGTTCTTCTACTAGTGACCCCAGTCGGAAACCCCTGGACAGCAGGGTCCTCAACGCTGTAAAACGTAGGTTTATCATCCAAATCATTTCATATATGAGACAGAATTTCAAAAGAGCACAATTTGTCTACATTGAGTTTGCTGTTTTCTCTCTTTTACAGTCTACTGTCAAAATTTCAACCCTAACTTCAAGGAGAGTGAAATGAATGTGATCGCTGCCGACATGTGCACAAACGCGAGGCGTGTCCGCAAGCGATGGTTGCCCAAGATCAAGTCCATGCTGCCTGATGGCATGGAGGTGTACCGTGCGGGAATGGGAATGGGTGCTGCTGTGGGTCTGGGCCTGGCACTAGGTGCCCCTCAACCAGGGGTATCCCTTCCCTTTGAGCCTGACTTCAAGACCCTTGAGCAAAGGTTGTATCCAGATCGCAAGGACCCTCTCAGGACTCACCCACCGCTGACAGAGGGCAGCCCTGGGTCTGGGGCAGCTGGAGCAGAGGCTGAAGGTGAAGGAGTCGCCCAGGAGGAACAGGAGGAAGACGAGGATGAAGCTGGGTTGGAAGGTGTAGATGGATCACTGGGGGCGCCAACCTTGATCCCAGGGGCTGAGGCAGGCAATTGTGGTGACACGCCGCCTGAGCAGGAAGTGGAAAGTTTTGGACAAGGTCTGAGAGTGAATGGACAGTGAATGTCCTTTTGGGCTGCCTCTCATTTTGTGAAATCTGTTTAACACCACATTTTCTTTTGCTTGCATCTCGTCCACCACTTCTCCTCCTCTGTGCTTCCTCAACAGGAATTATCAGCACAAAAAGCCGCGCTCGTAGATCTTACTAACGGAAATTTGTCACACATGCATGCACACACGTGTGCTTGTGGACACACATTCTTACTGATCGCGGAAGCAGACACAGGCATGGCATTAGCACATGAAGAAAATCAATGATTTCTCCTCCACCCTTTTCTCATGTATTCAGTATTTACTCAGTATTTCAGCACATGCAAACATAGTACAAAGGCCCGATAGCAGAACAAATGACTGTAATGATTCATGATTTCAGTGCAATACAAAAGCAGTAGCTGCTTTGCTGGCAGTTTATGGAGTGTACTATAATGGTTTGTAAAATGATTCCGTTTTCCTGGAAAGCTGCTTCTAAAAATAACTTGTGTAACCTTGGGAAAAACAGATCAGAGAAACTTTGCTCCTTTTAAAAATCAGCTTATTTTTGCAGTGTTTGACCACTTTACATCATATTGTTGTATGATAAATGTGTGTGGATATATGAAAAAAAAAAGATTGTGTTGTAATTAAAGGTCAAGTGCTGTATTAAAAAAAAAAGATTGTGTTGTAATTAAAGGTCAAGTGCTGTATTAGCAGTTACCATTAAACTGAACAATTTTTATTTCCTGATAAAACAGCAACATCATTTTTATGATAAAGATGAGGAAAGGGTTTTTTTCCCTAGGAAACCTCTCCACAATCTAACAAATAATCTATCACATGGAGTTGTTTTTTCATGCACATTTGCCCGTGACACATTGGATTAGATTGTCAATGTGATGCCTGTGTCTGCTCCAGACAGTCCCTCCAAACCACACACACGCGCACATACAGAAACACACACGCACATGTGCGCACATTTCCCACCTTATGATACTAGCCTTTAATATCTGCACCAATGCGTTGAAAATACACCGTTCAGTAAAAAAAAAAAAAAATGTAACAATGCTTTTTAACTTTGAAAAATCCTTTTAAATTACACCATTCTGTCTTGGAGATACAGAGAGAGACATGAACAAGAACATGCACTAAAATCCAAGCTTGCATGCATGAAAACAGTGGATACAGAGAAATACTGAAAACAACAACAAAGCCACAAACCTGCATCTAAATAAGAAAACAGCTATTGTTGCCTTGAGATATGCCATTAATACGCAAAAGAACGTTTGTTTTTTGTTTTTTTGTTGTTGTTTTTTTTTTCTTTTTTACTGGGACATTTCTCAGAGACCTCAGTCTGACACATGTTAGAACTGACCTGGGTGTGACCCAGGACTGACTGTGTTTGACACAGTGCTGATTGGATTATCTTTTCTAACTACGGAGTGTACTGTCACCACGGGTAGAGGAGACTGACTATATGGAGTAGTAAGAAGAAGTGCACTACACCAAGTGGTAGAAGAAAACAAATGCCAGAGAGAGAAGCACTGTTTCACCTTGATGTGGTGGTGTGCTTGGCACCAATACTACATAGTCCTTCTTCCATCCTGTTTTATTTTTCCTGGAGGGGTGGGGGGTGGGGTAAATTATTGAATAAATTGTATAAGAGCAATTTCTGCTGGCTTATTGCATTTGCACTCAAAAAAAGGTTTAAGGTTGGAAACTAAGGAGTTTGGCAAAATATGACTGTACTAAAGACTAAAGGCTAAAGACAGGGTGATCTGGAGGGAGAATCTTCTTCCAGATCACCCTGGTTATTTATTTGATTAGGGTATTAGGGGAAAGGGGAAGGGGATGGCATGAGGCAATGTCGAACAGCGACTTTAACCTGTATTTGTCAGTCATTTTCTTCTTTTTTTGATATATGTTTTCATGCTTTCTGCCACGCATAAGGACGCAGTCCAAACAGCCTTTCTTTGTTGTTTCGTGCATTGATTTTAAAAGATACTCTGTTGTTCCTATATGTTTTCTTCAGTTTTCTTGGGTTTTCCTGCTCAGCAGTCAAAGCACCTTTAATCACGAGATCAGATCATCAAATCTAGTAAATGAGTGAACCCCAAAGTTATTTCAAGCCATCACTGTTATGGAAAGTATGGCTTAGTTATGAAGTGGTTGAAAAATAAAATTAATCAGGTTTTTCCACCACAGAAAGTGACAGCATGAATGAACAACAAAGTGGAAAATACAGTATAAGCCCTTGATATATTTGATCTGTTTGTTTATGCTTCAGTGCTGTGCCACTTCAAAGGTCGGGCCAGATTAGTCTCTGTCTGTGTTCAACATATATTTGTTTCGGGTTCTTTTGGGGGAAGCTTTAAGATGGCCCTGCACAAGAAACACAGGGTTAAAATTGCACTAGGTAATAATAATGACGTTTACAGTATCTCTATCTATTCTTCTTTTTTTTTTTTTTTTTTGGAAGAAATGTGATCTGCCATGGATAAAACAGGGCTGCAATAGAGTGGCTGAGATGATGGATGAATGTAAACTGTAGCACTGCTGTGGTGAGGGCTCCAAGCCTTGATTGAATATGGTAAAATACTGAAACTCTTTTTTTATATGACGCACGTCTTTCCTCAGTTGTATACTCTGAGAAATAGGCCATGATATAAAATGAATCTGACTGTGGATGATGTTCTGACCTAAATTTTAAGGGATTTTTGTGATTTGTTTTTGTTTTTTAAACTGATGTGAACAGGTCTTCCAATATGGCAAAAACCAAGGAGCATTTCTCTAACATGTAGAAAACTGAGCAAGGTTCAAGTACAGGCTTTTACTATTGTTTTATACTATCTTTACCCCAACAGTTATGTGTGTCTAAAATGTTGAAATGACATGTGTTCACAAAACTGAGAGACCCTGAAAATTTCTGTAAACATATACCTTAAAGTTAAATAATTTCTTTATCTCATTTTTAATTTATTAAGCCTCGGTTCTTAAAGTTGCTCTTGTAAAGAAAATAAAGGTATTCAGTTGTTTTATTGGAGCCACCACCTTAATTACTTGACTTTTGAGAGGATCAACTGCACTTGGGATTTTGTCAGCCAAGGTAAACAGTCTTCCCAAAAATGCATACATATATGATTGCAGTAATTACTTTAGATTACAAAATAGCTTTCAACTTAATCAGGCTGCCGCCCCACAAAAAACATTAAACACCTGTACTTCACTGTTTAACTGTGCAGTAAGTATAACCTATTTTTCTCTCTTTTAATGCACTATAAATCTTTTCTTCCTTTAGTTTTAAACAGGCCCTACTTTAATTTAGAGGAATTTGAAATGAGCTCAAATTAAAGCGTGTTAAATGACATGGGTTGGGGAAAAACCCGATACACTCCACAGTAGTGATAGAGGGGTGTGGAGAAGTGCCATAGACTGTGACTGTGTGGGTGTGGCTGTCATGATGTGAACCTTTATGTTCAGAGAGTAACAGAACAAAGGACTGGTAGAATGCAGACACTGACAGATTTTCTTTTCCTTTACTAGAATTATAATGTTACAGAAATTAGCCTCCCAGAACCTTTTGCTCAATATATATAATGTATGTAATAATTTATTCACTTATTTTGTCACTTTCTTTAGGGAGAAAGTGCAAGATTTTTACTATACTTAAATACATTCAACAGCTAATCCACAACAACCTGGACCCCCTTTTGAAATCAATCATTCAATCAAACGTACATAAGCATTTGATGCATTCACATTTCAGCTTGTTTCATCCAGCTTGTGCAAAGTTTTTCATCTTAACTACAAACATATGTCCAATAAAATCAAAAATACCAACCTCTTTTTTTTTTCTTTTTTTTTTTTTCTTAGGAAAATCTTTTCTTTCTTTCTTTCTTCTTTCTCTCCTGCTTAGGATATTTTTTTCTTGTGCAGGGTGAATTTGAACATGAATGATGTTGCACTAAAAACTGAGAGATTCTCAGAGAATGTCGTGGCTAACCCTTGGGAGGATGAGCTCTATTTGAGGTGGCTGGCAGAAAAAGTCCCATAAAATGTATGTAATGTTCTATATTTGACCTGTTTCTTTGATTGAAAGCGGTGTCTCTCCTTCACATGGGGACATGGAGGATGGCGTTGTTGGTTGAAAAGACCCTATTTTCACAAACTTTCTTTGCAAATAAATTGTTACTTACTTTCTAAAAAACCTTACATAGTGCTCTGTTCATCCCCATTCACTGTAAAACTAATGGGCACAGCAGTTTTTGTTCCATTGAATTGTCCTGGAAATAATACGTTTATATGCAAAGAGACTTGTATCATAAAATGCATGACACTCACTCTAACACGATGAAACCTCTGATCTTTATGCACCATGTATTTTATGCTGAATAACTGTTGTCACTGTTTGCAAACAAAGACTATGGAGTCTTGCAATGAATAGGGTTGTATTTTTATCACACACCCTGGCCTTTTATTGAATGTTTGCGTAAAGTTTAATCTCTTTTAATAATGACAGCAAAGTAGTGTTAAAGAGTGGGATACATAGACTTAACTACCCAGTTGAGTATGCATTTGAACCTACAGCAGACTCAGAGAAAATGCACTAAAAGTTTATACAGTGTGTGTATGTTTATGTCCTTGAACATAATGCCAGCACTTTAGAACTACTTAGAAAAATGAGAGAAAAGAGAAAAACGGGAAGAGTGGCCGAGGGTAAGGTGAATGAAGGGGAAACTTTTAAAGCCATGTGTTCAGAGCGCTGACAATCAGAACAGGAATGAGACTCAAAGTACACTATGGGAGATCTGACATGACTTGCTGTGCTCTTGCTCTTTGCTTTGTCTTTCTCCAGCTTGCTTTGGTCTCTGCTAGCTTGCTCTCCAGAGTCGAGGGACATTATGATGTTAACCCCAGCCTTCTTAGTTATAAGTGTGTGTGTCCGCGACAAGGACTGACTGATATTTGACTGATACCTTGGTGCTTCGTGAACAGAGCTGTTCCATGTTGACATGGACCATATCTGTAATGCTCTGGTAAGCATGGGCCGAACTTGGTCCTAAGTCTGGGCTTATTGGTAACCTCTTGATGGGCAACAGTTCATACAACAAAAGAGGATCTTATCATTCAACCCTACACTTTGATCATAGTGATGTTCTTCACTATCAACAGGGCTTGGACCAGGCAAACTGGGATGGGACAATTTCAGTGTTAATACTGCTTTATGTTTAAAAATGACAAATGTTAATATGTTTATGCGCCTTCTGACTCAAGCATCAATAATATATACAACAAAAATGCAAGTTGCCACTTTTGATGTTGCATAAGAATCTACCTTTCATTCCCATTATGGTATTTGCCACCACCAGTTTCAGTTGTGTAGTCCAAGAGTACCTGATTTCTTTAAATGCAATACAGAAAAATCTGCTTTCTAATAAAAGTCCTTACTTCACCATATACTGTCCTCCTCTTTCTTTTGTCTCTGTTGAATCTCATTAAAAGCAGATTGGCTACTTCAGGGATTTGTTCAGTGTTGACCCCCCCAAATGTCTGTAAAAGATCCCACTTGCAACTATTTAACCCCAAGGAACCTAGGCAGAGAGGTTTTTTGCAGTACTGTATTGTAGAAATACATTACATTACTTCATAAACTATGATTACAAATATCACACACTAGTAGGCCTACATTCAGATTCACATGAAATATAGTGGGACTAAATTTTATAAATAATTTTTCTGACTTTTTTTTTTCTTGGGGAGAAAGAGGGTTATAAATAGACTGACATTAATCCCAGCAGGATGGAGAAGTGGAGTAATAGATTTGGTTCTTTTGAGAATTTGTAAATGGCGTTTTTTCACAACTTCGTGTATTTTTTTCTGCCTTGCAGCAAAGTATATTTTTGTTTTTGTTTTTGATTGTAGTTCTAGGTTACTGAAGAAAAATATTGCCATATATAGCCCCCATTTTGTGAGGGAGATCTGGTGTGTACGAGCTCAGTGTTGTGGTCTCTGTGCTCTGGTATCTATTTGTCATCCTACGTAGCTGTGACGTCGTTTTCTTCACCAAAATCGCGCCGCAGCGTGTGTTCAGTTGAGCTCACAGTCTAATGTGGCTCAC